TGCTCAGCGGGGAGTCTGCTTCTCCCTCTGACCCTCCTCCCTCTCATGCTCTCTGTCTCTCATTCTCTCTCTCACAAATTAAAAAAAAAAAAAAATCATATAGTATGTATTCTCTGGCTTTTCTTACCAAGCATAATGTTTGTAAGATTCATCCATGTTATTGTAGAGATCACTAGTGCACACCTTTTTATGGCTGATTAGCATTCCATTGTGTGGATACATCTCCAAATTTTTAAATTTTGATGGGACCCAATTTACCAATTTTTAAAAATTCCATGCTTTTTGGATCTCATTCACAATGTGCCTTTAAAATTTATTCATTGGGGAAGCTTTCCCCTCTGGTCCTGATGAATCTCAGGCATTCACATGACTCTTAAATAAAAAGATCCCATGGTCACAATAAATGACAGTTTTAGTTCAGGCATTGGAATGCCCAATTCTATGTGATAATCAAAATTCCAAACTTTATTAAAGTGAAAACTCCTCTCCTCTAACTTGGACCTTCTTCATGAACACTTAACAACAGGAATGGAGGGAGGTAGGGCCATGGTTATGCTCTCTTTCCCTGTCTAGGTTATCACCTTCTCTTCCAGGTGGCTCTCTCAGGTTTGGGAGAGTCAAGTAAGAACTTTCTCTCAGGTTTGGGAAAGAAACACTTTCATTAAATAGTTTCAAGTTCTTTGGGATTGGTAAATACTCAAACTGACTGTTTCCTTCTTGGCTATGTTTATGGGTTCTGCAGAGGCCCCCAGTAGATACATTCTGTTGTACCTGCCACAGTGCTGGTGATACCATTTTCTTCCATTGGCTCCTCCCATCTCAGCTCTTGTGTTTTGGTGGCCCACTCTATCGTGGCTCTTTCTGTTGGAGTCCCATGACTCTTCCAAGCCATTCTCTTGGGCAAGAGTTAATAGGGTTTAAGCCAGCTCCCCTTCCAAAGAAATCTTCCACCCTGGCTAACTCTTGGAGTGCAGGCCTCTTGACATAATCAATGCCCCTCCTCCCCTGTGGTTTGAACAGCTAGCTAGCCCATCTCGGCTCTTCCCATGTTCCAGGCATGAGGCAGACACTGACCTACTACCTGGAGGAATTACAGATCAAAGTCTCCAGGTGGTCCCATTGAAATGGTTCCCTCTTGACTTGAGAAGGGGAAAGTATCCCCTACCCCTGCTCCCTGAGAGAGGGGAGGAGAGATACAGCCTAGTTCTTTTCAGAAAAGTCCTCTTCACAAAGTTTACAGCAACCTTTATACCCCTGACGGTGAGGGGGTTGAGATGTGCAACTCGTTTTTGACCATTTACTCTGAAACTCCTACAAGATGGCCTGCTGACAACTTCATTATCTAATATCTACTGTCTTAGGGTTTCTGGCTGAAACTTCCAATTTAAAATCCTATTACACTTGCATTTGTGAGCTAAATGCTACTTGGATGTGATGTATTATTCTTTTTACTGTCCTAATGGATTAAATTTGTCAATGTTTTATTTAAGATTATGGAATCTCTGTTCATAAATGAAATTGACTATATGTGTGCTTTTTTTGTACCAACTTTGTAAGTATCATGCAGCAGGATAGAAATTTGCATACTATGACTCAGATGTGCAAAAGAATATAATGTTCATTATTTTCTACAACTAAATCTATCTTAGACTCAAGCTCTACTTCTGCTAATAGCATGGAAAAAAAAAAACCTTTTAATTATGTTTATGTCTCTATGAGTTCAAATTGAATTTAGTCAATTCAGAATTATACTTCCTGCTGGCTGTTTTTCCCTCCTCATGACACACTATCCTGTGGCCTTCCCTGATCCCACTGTTCAAGCCCGCTGAGGAAAAGCTGGTCCTACCTTATATTTTGCAGTATTGTTCTGCTGTCTACTACTGAGATCCAGCATCTCTGCATTCTGCACTTCTCTGTGCCAACCTCAGGCAGGGAAATAATCCAAATTAAGAAGGGAAAAATGCATCCGGAGGTATTTTCTAAACATTTTAACTAGCATTTAAATCTAAGACATTTATGGTTCTTATGCTTTTGTTGCTAAATCAAGAATCCAATCACACAGAATAGTTCCCAGTCATACTGGTGGGGAAGCAAGTTGCCGATTTCCTCCCAGCGCTTTACTCAGCTCCTCGGCTCCTCAGAATCCTCTCATGAAACCCATGCTAGTAACTATTACTTCTAATAGCCCTGCCAGGCGCCTTCCTTATATTATTTTTAATTCTGGCTATAACCCAGTGGAGTACATAATGCCATTGCAATTTTACAGGAAAATAAATTGAGGCCTAGAAAGGTGGCCTGTATTTCTTAGGATATAGGCTAACTTGCTGTAACAAAGAGATAACAAAATACAGTGGTTTGAACAAGCTGAAGGTTTATTTCTCTCTCACAGAACAGAGACAGGCAAAAAGTCCAGGTGGCGGGTGTCTCGGCCTCACCCAGTTATCCGGGGACCCAGTACCTTCTGTCTCATTGCTCCACCATTGAATCATCCAGGGTGCTGTCCTCACCTATTTGGTAAAAGCTGGCTCACCACCACACACGCACGCCCCAGCCTGTGGGAAGGAGGAGGAGAGGATGAAGGACAGGCCATTTCTTTAAGGAAATTCCACACAAACCCTGCAGTTCATGTCCCATTTGTCCAGAAAGATCATAGTCACATGGCCACAACTGACTGCAGGAGAGGCTGAAAAATATAACCTCTACTCAGTGGTCCCATGCCAAGGTAAAACTAGTGGTAGATAGGTATGGTGGTGCTTCTGTGACTAAAAGAAGGGAATCATGGACATTGAGGATTGTTTAGACCTCTCTGCCCAGAATCTAGTATGATTCTTTCCTTCCAAGTTCTGAGCAGTGTGTGCAGAGGAAAAACTACATTTCCCATTTACCTTGAAGATAGGAGCCACCAGTTAGATATACAGAGAAGTCACTGTGTGGGGCTTCCAGGAAAATTTTTGTTGTCCTTCCTCCTTTCATCCTTCCCGCTGCCTGGAAAGCAGATGAGGTGACCAGAGCTTCAAAAGCCATATTAGACCATGAGTGACCTAGAATGTGCTAAAGATGATGGGGGCATGCCGAAAGGAAGAACCTAGAAACGTAATGATCAAGGAGCCACCATCCCAATCTTGAACCACCTAACTCTTCATTTCTTTATTTTGAGGGAGAGATCAGCCTCTTTCACATTTCAGCTGCTTTATGACCTACAAACAACCAAATGTAATTCTTAACTAACTCAAATTATTCAGTTAAGCAATGTACTCATAGTCATGCAGCTAGGAAGATGTTTACTCAGATTTACCAGGCTCCAAAGCCCATATTCTTGCCCCTCCTGGATTAAATTAGTCTTTTATGAGACAAAAATGGTATCCTTTTGGATGACTGGGTGGCTCAGCCGGTTGAGCATCCACCTTCGGCTCAGGTCATGTTCCCAGTGTCCTGGGATCGAGTCCCACATTGGGCTCCTTGCTCAGCGGGGAGCCTGCTTCTCCCTCTGCCTGCCGCTTCCCCTGCTTTGTGCTCTCTCTCACTCTCTCTCTGACAAATAAATAGAATCTTTAAAAAAAAATGGTATCCTTTTGTTAAGATTCTGCAATGCAATGAAGAAATAGTGGTAGGTTCCATCATATTTAGGGAAAGATGTTTATCCTTTACATCTAGAGTCCTTGATGTGATAAGGCATCTTGGGTAGCAAAATGTTTCTCTGTTAGATGTATGGAACATACAATTACAGAAGAGCTCCATGAGCTGTCGAACCAGGCATGATTTGTTATTCTTATCTCTGACTTTTTCTGTTAATTTTAATTGGCTTCTTGTGCATTCCTTTTGTTGTCAGCTAGCATGTGCTGACAGGCAAGCAGTAGGAGGCCCAGTGTTAAGGAAGATGAATGGGGAACATTTTTGAAATGTATAACAATCTATTCATCACTGTAACTTCTTTCCCATTTGGAAAAAATCCATAATTATTTAAGTCTAATACAGTGGGTCCACCTTATGGGACACAGAGTTGGAGAGTCTCTGATCAACATGATTGACTGATGGGCCTTCTACTGTCAGGATGGAAAAACACATAGTAAAGGAACAGGTTATGAGAGCCATTATGACCCTATGAACCTGGATAAAGGCTTTAGTGTTTCTTGTCTAGAGAGCATTTGGTTAAAGTAGGAAATCAACTACATGGACTATTTAACCCACATGTTCTAAATTGCTACTAGGAATAATATCACTAGAATTAGTGAGGAAAATTGTGCTACTTTTTATGGGCAAAGTACCAGAAAGTTGACATAAGTTGCTTAAAAGAGTTTATTAGATAATTTTCTTAATATCTCCTTTTGAGAAAAGGAGAAATGATTGTCTGAGGCTTTCAAAATATTTAGATTCAGAATGTCCTGTGTAGTATAAATAGGTAAGACTGTGATTTATCAGCCGATGTCACTTTTTCATTGTAGGGTTTTGTGGTAGATAGAATAACGAATGACCCTGCAAAGATGTTCATGTTCTAATCCCCAGAACCTGTGAGTATGTCACCTCACGTGGCAGAAGGGTTTTGCAAGTGTGATTAAATGAGAGGTTTTAAAACAAGAATATTTTAAAGGTTGTAGAGATTGTTGTGATGCCACTGAGGAGGCCAGGAGGCAAGGAATGTGGATTGCCACTAGAAGCTAAAAAAGGCCAGGGACGGATTCTCCCTTGAGTCTTCAGAAGGAGTGCAGCCCTGTCAACACTTGATTTTGGCCCCGTAGGGCCCATTTTTAGACTTCTGACCTCCAGGACTGTACGATAATAAATTTGTGGGATACCTGGCTGGCTCAGTTGCAGGGCCATGTGACTCTTGATCTCGGGGTTCTGAGTTCAAGCCCCACGCTGAGTGTAGAGATTATTTAAAATAATAATAATGACGATGATAATAATAAATTTGTGTTGTTTCAAGCTACAAAGTTTAAGGTAAGTTTATGGTCATCTGTTACAGCAGCAATAAGAAATAATGTATGTTACAGCAATATTTGGAAACTAATATAGGTGTCAAATTTTCTTGGGGTTAAGCATGGTAAAATAGTTGAATCAAGCAGAAGTGGGGTCCCATTCATTCTACTCCCAACCTCCCTCACCACTTTTTTTTTTAATTAAAGATCTTGTTTATTTATTTGAGAGAGAGAGAGAGCACAGAGGGAGAAGCAAACACCGCACTGAGCAGAGAACCTGATACAGGGCTCAATCTCAGGACCCTGAGATTGTGGCCTGAGCCGAAGGCAGGCAGGCAGACGCTTAACCGACTGAGCCATCCAGGCACTCTGTCCCTTACCACTTTAAATGAGTTCATTTTAGATACAAATATGCAAATCAGGAATGAACTCTGGCTCCTTGGATGAATGGCTGATTCTAGCATTGGGACAGGAAATATTCAAGATGAGCCTGAAGCATCTTTAAAAAAAAAAAAGATTTATTTATTTATTTGAGAGAGAGAGAGTGCACACTTGTGCACACAAGCTCTTGAGTAGGGGGAGGGGCAGATGGAGAGAATCTTCAGGCAGACTCCAGGAAGAGCGCAGAGCCCCCACACTGAGCTCAGTCTCACAACCCAAGAGATCAAGACCTCAGCCAAAACCAAGAGTCAGATGCTTAACCGACTGAGCCACCCAGGCGCCCTGAGCCTGAAGTATCTTGGTAGTACCAAAAAGTAATGAAGTGCTAAAAGACGAAACAAAACAAAAAACAGTAAGACAATGATGGGGATATGTCAAAGAGATACAGCAACCACCTGAAAGAGCTCCTAATGGCCGAAGCTGGAACAATTTAAGCAACAAAATAAACAAATTAGTATTGGGTTATAACCCAATGTACAGAATAAATATCCATGAGAATGCAATGTGATTCTCTCCTAAATTCTGAGCATGTGACCAGGAAAAAAAACTACATTTCCATTTCTTTTGCAGACAGGAACAGCAGTTGAATATAAGAAGTCCGTGGGTGACACCAATGATTGAATAAATAAGTAAAAGTGAGAGAAGACAAATGTCCTGTGCAAAAAAATTCCAAGTAATTTATGTAGATGTTCTGCCCTTAAGGAGGTAGAACATAACTCCCATTGAGTGTGAGCTGCACAGAGTAACATCCTTCCAAAGAGTACAGTATGGAAAGGGAGGTAAAGTGTCATTTTACAGTAGAAAAGCCTGACAAACACTACCTCAGCCAGGTGATCAAGGTCAACATCAGTAGTAACAAGTCATATTGATAGTATGTATCCTTGATATAATGTGATGAAAAATGACATCTGTTAAAAAGAAAACCACAGACCCAAAATGGTGTCACTTAGGCCAACTCACCAAACCCAGGCTTAATACCTAACCTAACTGCAATTTCAACCTCCCCCCAGAAACGTAGTCTTAACAGTCAGTCAAGAATTTTCTGGGGCGCCTGGCTGGCTCAGTCAGTGGAGCATGCGACTCTTTGATCCTGAGGTCCTGGGTTCAAGCCCCATGTTGGGCACTGAGCTTACTTAAAACTTTTTTTCTGATAAGCACCAATGAGATAATCTGTCACATGGGCCTCTCCATCCTCCTCCCCATCCCCAAAGAAAGAGGAGGTAATCTGCAGGATAAGACTACCTGCTCTTCCCTCCTAAGGGAAAGAGACCTAACCTGAAACAATCTTTTCTTTCTTTTGCTAATAACTTCCTTGCCCCACCCTCCTTCCTACAAAAATCTATTTTATACAACTCCTTCAATTCCTTCCTACTTGTTAGGGTGGGATGCTGCCCAACTCATGACTCACTTAATAAAGTGAATTAGATCATCAAATTTACTCAGTTGAATTTGTTTTCTTAACAAACCTTACCTCTTGTGGTCTTCCTCCCAAAAGGCAGTAATCTGGCTGGCTCATTAGTAGAGCATGCCACTCTTGATCTTGTTGTTGTAAATTTGAGCCCCATGTTGGGTATAGAGATTACTTAAAAATAAAATCTTAAAAAAAAAAAAAATAACTGACCAATTGTCCTGAAAACTATCATGGTCACCAAAAACAAGGTTAAGTCTGTAAAAGTGTCTTTTTTTTTTTTAGAGATAGAGCTTGAGCGGGGGCAGGGCATTGGGAGAGGGAGAGAGAGAATCTTAAGCAGACTCCATACCATAAGCACAGAGCCCAGCACAGAGCCCAACATGGAGCTCAATCTCACAACCCTGAGATCATGACCTGAGCCAAAAGAAGAGTCGGACGCTTAACCGACTGAGCCACCCAGGCGCCCCTCTCCTATCTCCTATCGTTGTAGACAACTAAGGGGACATTTGGAACCTAAGCTGTGCCATCAACAAAGTACAGATCGTATATTATGAACATGAACAGTACCATAGACCAAGGAAGGCTGGGAGGTAACCAGTAACCTTTGGGCCACATTTGGGTATATCTAGAATGGCTACAACAACATAATTCTTTATGCTGGTGTTAACTACTGGTCTGTTATGTTGTGTACAACCTCAGCTCTAGAGGTACATGAAGAACTTTACTGTGTGAGTAGGTCTTTTTGGATAGATTTCTCTAGAGATATAATAGACAAAAGACCAAAAAAGTAAATCACAGAGAATTTTTAGATGTATCTTTTTTTTTTTTTTTTTAAGATTTTATTTGTTTATTTGACAGAGAGAGACACACCGAGAGAGGGAACACAAGCAGGGGGAGTGGGAGAGGGAGAAGCCGGCTTCCCGCTGAGCAGGGAGCCCGATGCGGGGCTTGATCCCAGATCACGACCTGAGCTGAAGGCAGACGCTTAACGACTGAGCCACCCAGGCGCCCCCTAGATGTATCTTAATAGAATTTTAGATGTAGAATATCTTAATAAAATATTTAGATGTATCTTAATCTCACACCTAGATTGAAAGGAACATTTAGTGACCCCCAGGACTAAGTACTTCCCCAGTACTGTCTGTCGTGGCTACTTTGCCCAGTCATCACGCTCCTCCCGGGAAAACAAGGACAGACTTCACAGCTGTCTCTCTGGTCTTCACCAGCTTGGGCTTGTTTCCTGCTGGTAGTTGGCTCAGTTCAGTTCATTTACTCTTGGCTCCTGGTGTTTATCTATGAGTTTCTTGAATACCTAGTGATGCTTCTAATGAGACTATGAAATTATAGCATTTTATTTTATTTTTTAAAGATGTTAAGTCATCTCTACACCCACCACAGGGCTCGAACTTACAACACTGAGATCAAGAGCCCTATGCTCTAACAACTGAGCTAGCAAGGCATCCCAGAATTATAGTATTTTAGAGCTGGCTTTAGAGGTTATTTATTTAATTAATTAATTACATTTTTTAAAAAGAATGTATTTATTTGAGAAAGAGAGAGCACACGAGAGAGCACAAGCAGGGAGAGTGGCAGAGGGAGAGGGAGAAGCTTAACTGACTGAGACCCCCAGGCACCCCAATTAATTTTTTTTTAAAAGACTTATTTATTTGGGACACCTGGGTGGCTCAGTCATTAAGCATCTGCCTTTGGTTCAGGTCATGATCCCAGGGTCCTGGGATTGAGCCCCACATCGGGCTCTCTGATCAGCGGGGAGCCTGCTTCTTTTTCTGCCCCATGCTCTCTCTCGCAAATAAATAAATAAAATCTTAAAAAAAAAAAGACTTATTTATTTATTTTAGAGGGGGAGGGACAGAGGGAAAGGGAGAGATAGAAGCTCCAGCAGATTCCCTGCTGAGTGCAGAGTCTAACACGGGGCTCCATCTCCCAACCCTGAGATCACGACCTGAGCTAAAAATCAAGAGTCGGACTCTTAACTGACTGAGCCACCCAGGTGCCCCAGAGGTTATTTAATTTAAATAATGAGTTATCTAATTTAAAATTCTTCATCTTGCAGATAAGGCTAGTGAGGGTTAAGTGACTTTTCTGACATCCCATTGCTGGCTAGTTAGCAGGGCTAGCGAGGCAGGAGAAGAACTTGGGTCTCCTAATTCAGTGGGGATTTTTCCTCCTACCTGTGCTGCCTCCCACATATCCCACCTCATGTCTGCTGCGTATAGTACACTCTCTTCTACTGAACATGACTAAATTATCTGATGCGTTAGCTGGCATCAAGAATTAAAAAGTAATACAATCTAAAGGCTTCAGCAAGACATGACAAAATAAATACCACACAGTGTGTTGCCCACTTCCCAGGCAAGAAGGGACAGAGTCAATGACTCTCAGTTTTCCCAAGTAATGGGTGTGACTCACGTCACCTTTGCTTTTCACTGGGGGTTCAGTTCAGGAGGTATAGGACTGCTCTCTGTTGGCAATTCAGTTTGAAAAGGAATTATTCACAGTTGTGTCACTCACATTACTGAAATGATTTTTCTCTGCCATTTGTTCTCTTCTTGAATCTTTTCTTGAGTCGGATAGAAGCTCCTGCAGTTCACGGCGTCTCTCACACCTCGTGCACTGTCTCTAGATGAGTGTCTTCTCTCTTTGATGTATTCAGGAACCACCTCAGGAGACCTCCCTTCCACACCTGCCTCTGTCATTGGCTAGAACACGTCCGATTTCGTCTTATTGAGGATAACACACAAGGGGAACAAGAGAACGTCTGAGTGGCAGATTACAAAGCACTCCCACGTCTTCTACCGAAAAAATAAAGCCCTGGGGCAGCCCTACGAATGACACAGGTTGAGAAATGTACACGTGTGCGTGACCACCTTTGATCTCACGGAGTCACCGCTCCAGGGGATGCACCAGGTGGCAACAGTGGCCACAGCCCCCTCTTCCTACCGAAGCGATTGCCCCCTGGGACGGAAGTGGGATCTGGATATTGCTGGGGTACAGGGAGATGGCACCTCCTCCAGTTATCTGTTGCTTCCCGTGCTGCCTGACTGCGGAGGAGCCTTCCAGGAAAAGAACTCAAGCCACATCCACACTTTCTATGTACGTATGTCTGAGGGGCTGGGGGAAAGCAAGAGGGACTCCAGATTCCTAGGAGAGCTTTCTCCACAACAGAAAGGGTGTGGGGTCATCAGCCACCTGCAGCATCAGGGCTCCAGGTCTGGTTAGTCTGGTAGTTCTGGGACCAACAGGCAGCTATTACCTAAACTTGTCAAACCCAGCCACTCGCCATCGGGGTCTTCCCTATGTTCTGGGGAGCGGGACAGGGGCAAGTTTAAGCTTTGGGTTACTCACACATGGTGGTGGTCGTCGGTATTGCCATGAGTTGGTTCTCACAGTTTTTTCTTAGATTTTCTTTCTTTTGTTTTTTTTTTAAGATTTTATTTATTTATTTGACAGAGCACAAGCAGGGGGAGGGGCAGAGGGAGAGGGAGAAGCAGACTCCCCCCTGAGCAGGGAGCCCGATGCAGGACTCCATCCCAAGATCATGATCTGAGCCGAAGGCAGATGCTTAACCAACTGAGCCACCCAGGAGCTCCTAGATTTTATTTTCTATCTTGATAAGAAATGTGCCCGTTTTTAGAAAACATAGAACCCAAAATGCTTTATAATTTCCACAGTTGATGTCTGTGTGCTTTTGACAGCTCTGTCACATTCATGATGGTTTTTCATGATTTTTTGCTCTGGCCTATTGGGCGGGCATATGAGGATGTTATGGGTGGATGACAGGGTGGGGTGGGCCTGTGATCCCTGCTGCCCCCCCAGCGTTATTTTTCAGGTAGTGGCTTCTCTCTAATACACTGGCAAACAAGAGAGGGAGCTGTTCCTCTGCTTTTCAGAGGAGACCGTTGGAGCTGTGCCTTCAGCTGCCTATGGGCACTCACAGCTCCTGCAGGCATGGCTCGGGACCCTTGCAGAAATAGAAAAAGTGCTTCTTCCTCCTGGAGAACACATGCGGGTGGTTGGGTGGCTTAACGGGAGTGAACTACATTTCGTGCTAGACTTTGGTCCCCATGCATGCCCTCACTGGGTGCCCTTGTGCACTAAACAACTTACACAACTGTGCATAACTGCACAGCTCTGTGCACTGGCCCCTGTCAAATCATGGGCACATCTCCAAATAGAGGAGTGAGAGGAGGTCCAGGAAAGAAACAGAGCACAGGCATTGGCCTGAGCAGCAGAGTGGCCAACCATGGTCCATCTAAGTGGTATCAGCATAAGTGACAGGCGCTCCGAGGGAACCATGGAGCAGGGATCCATGCAGCAGGCAAGCAGTGAGCAGCGTGGAACCTTACGTACGAGTAGAGACAGCAGAAGTATGAAATGAAGCCTGGGCCGTTTGGTGGGAACACTTGAAATATTTACCGGGGACTCTCAGGTGTTAGGAGAGTATGGTGGTATTTCTTGTTTTGTCTGCCCTGTGGGAGTCTGGTCAGGCTGCCAATGACCGCAACCCCACTTCACAGCCACAGGGCCCAGCAACCAAGGAACCCCATAGCCTTGGCTATGATTAGCCCAGGGGTCAGCCCATCAAGTTCTTCTGGAGGATTGTTTTTTTCATTTAGAGGTAGAAGAAAAGTCATCTGGCCTTCCAGATAAAGAGTGTTAAGAATGTGAATGGCCATCTTCTCTGCAATATAGAAGAAGGTGTCCCTTTAAAAAAATTTTTTTAAAATATTTTTTTAAGATTTTATTTATTTATTTGCGAGAGAGAAAGAAAGAGGGGGGAGGGGCAGAGGGCGAAGCAGATTCTCCACTGAGCAGGGAGCCCAACGTGGGGCTTGATCCCAGGACACTGGGATCATGACCCGAGCCGAAGGCAGACACCCAACCAACTGAGCTACCCAGTGCCCTAGAGGAAGGTATCTCTTGTAGAAGAGAATGGGGTCAATGTAAGAAAGAAGCAGAGCAAGAGTGAGAAAAAGGAAGAGAAAGAGTGAGAAAGACCAATTCAGAAAATGTATTTTTAGTCCCCTAGATCTAGCTGTAACTGAAGTCCACTCCTAGACTTTCAGGGTTATAAGCTGCCAGCACATTCCCTTTTTGCTTATGTTAGTTGAACGAATTTCTGTCATTTATAAATGAATGGCTTCTAATGAATACAGGCAGGGAAACTTGGAAGAGCACCTGAGCTATGCAGGTGAAACCTATCTATCTCTAACTCTTAAGTGACCTTTTAGAGTTGGGAGCCTTCAGTTCATTACAAACTGCCAATGCATCTTCATCTCGAGAACTCTAGAGTTAACTGCCTCTCTGTTCCCTGGATATTGCCGAAGTCTTTGGATGATTTCACCACATTCCTGACTTTTTATGGTTAAATCCCCTTGCTTCTAACCCATTGCTTTGGTATACAAAAGGATAGATTATGTGGCTGACCAAATCATCCATCTGAACTGGGAATTCTGCCTCACTGAACAGTTACTAAAGTTCTACCAAAAGAGAGACATATTTATTCCTAAGATTTTACTGGTAAATCCTTTTGTAAAATAAAACATGTTTGCAAAATGAGTAACCTGCTCAGTACACTGGTTTTGCATACTCAAATGTTTATATTTTAAGCTACAGATATATATTTTTCAAAATATCTATTTTATAATGTACATTATTTATTATATATATTATAAATATATTTTATATATTATATTTTATAATGTACATTATTTATTTTATAATGTACATTGTTTTATAATTATGTATGTACATTATGAAATAAATTTAAAAATATATACACAAACACTTGTATTTCTTCCTCCAAAGAAAGTCTCTATAAAGAAAAAGTATATATCATTTTGTGCCATGATATGCCACAAAGCTAAGAATCCACTCCTATGTTGGACTAGTTCACTTCAAACAGAAGGTACCAACAATACTTATTAATTCTTACATGGGCAGATTCATTCACAGATCAGGCGTGATAGAACTTTAGCAGGATGACCAGTGATGAAGGAAAAATGGCCAGAGCCCACTAAGAGCAGAACTGGGGAAAACTGACCTAACTAAAGGGTCATTTGTCAATGTCCCGAGATTAAAAATATGCCAGGACTAGTTCCAGCTGGTTTCAGTATCAAGGAGATGCATAGTAGGTGAAGCCTAGCAACCGAGGGGTCCAAGATCAATGGCAGCAAATGGCAGTCATACCCTGGTTCGAGGTTGGCAGTCAGCCCCTAGGAGGTAACAAGAATAGGTCTTGGGCTCCCCAGAAGCAGGAATGCAAAAAGCTAAGAAGAGGATCAGGGGGCGCCTGGGTGGCTCAGTCGTTAAGCGTCTGCCTTCGGCTCAGGTCACGATCCCAGGGTCCTGGGGTCGGGCCCCGCGTCGGGCTCCCTGCTCAGCAGGGAGTCTGCTTCTCCCTCTCCCACTCCCCCTGCTTGTGTTCCCTCTCTCGCTGTCTGTCAAATAAATAAATAAATAAATAAATAAATAAATAAACTTGAGCATCAGACTAGAATACATTTCAGAAGGTGTGTGTGTGTGTGTCACAGTCAGAGACTGATAGAGCTCATGGTGCCATAGATGTCATTTAAAAAAAAAATAAGAAAGAAGAGGATCAGGATTTTAGACTAGCAGGGGTTTCAGGCTAGTCCTTTTGTCCAACTAGGAAGAAGAATGCGCACTTATCCAGCCTGGCCATTACGGATGAAAGCTATAACTCAGTGGGCATGCCTGGGGGTCAGGCGATGGTGCAACTTACTTTACTCACTGGCAGGCAAAAGGAATTCAGCTCGACTTAGGTAGTAAGGATACAGAAAAGACTGAGACATAGCATAATTGCTCTCAAATTGCTTATAATCTAGATGGAGACAGAGCCTAAAGAGATGATTTAAAATATGTGCAGATACTGAAGGACTTTGACAAGTGCTGAAGGAGAGGAATGCATAGTGTGTTGTGGGAACACAAAGAAAGGTCACTGACCCTAAACAAAGGTTTAGGCAGACTTCCTGGAGAAGATGCTAGTTGAGCTGATTCTAGCAGGCAAAGAAAAGTGAGAAAAATTTACCATGAACAGTCATGGAGGTGGGACACAGAAAAGCACAATCAGGGCATTTCAAGAGACTGGATATTACTAGAGTGGCAAGAGTCTCTTATGCCATGCTAAGATGTTTATCCCACATGGGGGTAGGGAGGTTTGGTGGGAGCTATTTGTCATCCTCGAGTCCATTTCTCCTCTTCCTTCTAGTAATAGAAGCCCTTCTTTCCCCGCATTGAGTTTTAGCTGAGCATATACCTCCCCAGTTAGGAAGTACAGTCTCCAGCCTCCCTTGTAGTAGATGCGACTATGGGACCAAGTTCTTGGGGTGTGAATGGAAGTTAGGAGTATAACGTTCATGTTACAGCATTCAAGGGAAGCCACTCGTTCTCCACTTTCTTTTTCCTCTCTTTCTCCTTCTAGAGGTCTGGAACACAGATGTGGCCAAGAGAGCCAACCTCAGACATGCCAACAATGACCATGCCCTGGGGTAGGTAGTGCACTAAAGATGGAAGGAACCTGGGTCCTGGGGTAAACCCGTGAGCTACCTCCTCATCCCAGACATCCTCTTTACTGGACTACTGAAGGAGAGAGAAATACATTTCTTGTTGAGTCACAGTCTTTGGGGGCTCTTATTGCAGCATAGCGGGTACCCTAACGTGAGACGGAAGGAAAGATGGTGTTAGGTTTTCTAAGAGAATT